TAGGCTGGCATTGCTCTTCCTGTCTCGGCCTTCTGAGAGCTGGAATGAAAGGCATTCATCAGCATGTTTGGCTCCACTCACTTTTATCCAATAGCATGTGTTGTAATTTAAGAAAAGCGGTGCTTGAGAGAAAGACGCCATGTGACAGGGATCAGGCAGAGGGTTTTTTTTTTAATTAGGAAAAGGGATCATAAAAAGGGGAAAGGGAAGGGGGAGACCAGCCTCTGGAGACAGAAGCAGCAGGAGAGAGGAAGAGGGGGAGAGAGAGGACAGAAAGGGAGAGAAAGGAACAGAAAGGAAGAGAGAAAAAGACAGACAGACAGACAGACAGACAGACAGAGGAGAAAAGCGAGAGAGAAGGATGGGAGGTGGGCAGGGCCCTTTTGAAAGGGAACATAGTGAATGTGCACAGGTGTTGCTCTTAGTGACTGCAGCTGAGGGTGTGTCCTGTCAGAACCCCAAACAACAGATGCCTAAATACTGACAGCATGTACCTTTCTCCATTAGCAAACCAGCCAGAATAGAGATTTCCGTTTTCTGTTACTTTATTTTTTATATTTCTAATTCATTAGGAAAGAGTTGCTACTTTTAGGATGCTAAAAAGGAAGTTGTTGCAAACATTAACACAGTTCTTCAAAACACTTTTAAAAGTTTGTTTTTAAATTTATATGTATGTGTGCCTGTGTGAGATTATGTGCACCATGTGTGTGCTGCAGGTGCCCTTGGAGGCCAGAAGAGGGTGTCAGATTTCCTGGAATTTGAGTTACAGGTGGTTATTGGCTACCTGATGTGGAATGGACTCTTGAGTCCTCTGCAAGAGCAGTGTAGCTCATAACTGATGAACCACCTCTCCAGCCCTTCAAGAAACCTCTTAAAGAAAAGTTAGCTAGTAGTATAATCCAGCTAAAGTCTGAAATGAACTATATAAAGATTTTAGAAAGGTTCTTTATTTGATAATTGTCTTAGAAGTCTAAATAATATTTTATGTAATATTCATCCATGCATATAATGTGTTTGGATCAAGCCCATTCCCCTGTTCCTTCGCCTCCAGTTCTTCTTATATCATGTGTGCACCCCTTTCACTCCTAGCTCCATTTGCACTCTTAAGCTTTTGCTCTCACACTGTTCCCCCACCTCTTAATGTCCACTAAGTCCATTTAGTGTTGTCTGTGTGTGCATGGCTGTGAGAGTCTCTACAGGAGCATGAGTAGTCTCTCAGGGGCCATATCTCTGGAGAGAAGTGATTCTACTTCTAAAAGCTCTTCAGATAGGGGTAGGATTTTTATGAGTTCTTCCCCACCCATTCTGGGATCTTGGCTGACTTGACCTTGTGCAAGCCTTGTATATGCCCCAGCTACCATGAGTTTGTGTGTTTCTACAAACTCTCCTCCTCCTCCTCTTCCTCTCTCTCTCTCTGTGTGTGTGTGTGTGTGTGTAATATAAATGTTCTTTTTAGAGCTGAGCACTCTGCAGTTATTCTGCATGTTGACCATTTATAGGTCTCTGTATTAGTTGCCATCTTCTCCAAAAATAATTTTGTCTCATGAGTGTTGAGAATGTACAAATGTTTAGGTATAAAGGTAAGAACTTAGGGGCAGGTTATTACTATGTCCATTTGACAGAATAGTAGTACTGTTCTCCCTTAGGGCTGAGGATTTAGCCAGATATGAGTTTTGGGGCCCAGTAAACAGTGCCATGAAATACATTTCATCTTGTGGAGTGAGATTTAAGTACAATCAGAAAGTGGCATTCGTGCCACTGTTGCTTTGTGCATCTAGCTTGTGGGGTCACAGCTGAATAGACTAGCCTCCTCTCCCCCTGCGTACACAGGACCTAGACATTTTCTCCACGCTGGACTGAGTTATCTGTCTTCTTTCAGATACAGCTGTTTCTCACTATCTGAGGGAACCAGTTCCAGGACCCCTCATGGATAGTCTTAGGGTGTTCAGGACCCTACAAGAGCAAGTGCAGTATTTGCATACAGTTTATACTACAGGCCTTAATTTATCAGATTATTTATGCTATCTAATTCAATGCACAGGCTATTTAAACTATTACTATACTTGTGCTGGGAAGATGGCCTATTTGGTAAAGTGTTTGCTGTACAAACATGAGGTACTGAGTTTGACTGATAGCACCTACAAAAAAAAAAAGGTTTGGTAGCTTCAGCCCTCTATTGGCTGAATCAGTGGATCTGGAACCTGTAAGGTATGTATGGCAGGCCTTATGTATATTAGTTCTTCTTAGCCTGTGGCCTCCCTCCCCTGAATCCCCTTGACAAAATATTTGAAGCTCAGTCTGTCTTTGAACTCTTCAACTCCCGAGTGCTGGGATTATATGTGTTTACTACCATGCCTGGTTGAAGTTTGAAATTTACCTTACTGCTTTTTTTAAAAAAAATGGATCACTATTTTGTTGTGACATATTATAGAAGTTCTGTACTTGCAGTTTCAGATAAATGAGTTTATAAGTATGTAGTCAGAAAAATTAAAAGAAAGAACAAATAGAAAGTAACAGATAGCACCATCAAATGTGATTGGTGTAGCCTGACTGAGAGCAAACAGAGGTATTATCATCCAGGAGAGGCTTGCGTCACCTCACAGAAATGGACTGCAGGCAGCTGGGTTTCTGGTTGCAAGTCTCTCCACTTAGTTCCCACTGCAGGCATATTCTACCACGGGCCCAACAATAACAACCTCTGTGGGAAAGGGTTCACCTTCTATATTCTCAGGGACACAGTGTTGTTAAACCCCTAAGGTGCTTGCTGCTTTTCCTTCTCCCTGTTACAGAGCTTGGGAGAGAGGGCTGACCCAGAGAGGACATTTGACATAGACATGTTGGAGTCTGAGACAAGGGAGAGCCTCCCCTTTCTCAGTGATAGTTGTTTAAAATGATAGTAAGTTTAGTGTTCTCATTGATAGTTAGTTAAAAAGCATGGCAGTTTACAGTTATGCTTTTGTAATGCTGTGACACAGCTTAGAATCACCCAGGATCAGTTCATGTCTGTGGAGAGTTGTCTTGGTGGGATGGAGGACCTACCCTTAATGTAGATGGTACCAAATTGATCTGGATCCTGAACTCTGTAAGAGTGCAGAAAGTTAGCTGAAAAAAGCAAGCATGGGTGTATTTGTTTTTCTCTGCTATTTGATTGTGAATGTGATGTAGGGAAGAAATTAGAACAAAGTGTAATGATGCATATAAACATGCCCATGACTTTGTCAGTTCATTTACATATGCATGAAGGGCAGGCTAGGAATCCAAACTGCAGTATCACTAAGTCACACACACATCGTTTACATTTGATTGTTACTATATATGTGTGGATGTTTTGTCTACATGTATTTATGTGGAGGTCAGAAGAGGGTGTTGGGAACTGGAATACAGGCATTGCTGGGCATTGAACCTTCATCCTCTGCAAGAGGAATCAGTGCCCTTTTATTTTTCTTTTTTGGTTTTTCGAGACAGGGTTTCTCTATGTTGTTTTGGAGGCTCTCCTGGAACTTGCTCTGTAGACCAGGCTGGCCTCGAACTCTCAGAGATCTGCTTGCCTCTGCCTCCCAAATGCTGGGATTAAAGGCGTGTGCCATGAAGGCCCGGCAGGAGTCAGTGCTCTTAACCACTGAGTTATCTTTCCATTCCCCCACCCCCATTCTCTTGAAACTTCAGGCAAAAAGCCCCTTTCTCTTCGTTACTAAATATTGATTTATTTAGAAGAAAAAAACTTCAACCATCTATTATAATTTAAATTGTAGTTGAACTAATTGTGTTTGATATAAATGAATTTACCTAGATTTTCACATTTTTCAGTTTATTGCTCCCTTCTGGGTGGTGCTGGGGATGGAACCCAGGGCTTCATGTATGGGTAGGCATGTGCTCTACCACTGAGGGTTACCCCCGTCCCAGTTCATCTCTTAGGAAATGCTGTCTCCTTAAAGGGGATTTTAGCACCAGAGAATCATGGCCACTGGGGAGGATGAGACACTCTCATTGACCACCTGAAGAGAACTCCTCTGGATGTACTGCCGTGAGGTTCATGGGAAAATAGCTCTCTTCTTCCCTTAATGACCCTGTCTGAGAGTGGCCTGGCTTCAGGTGTTCTTAGAAGCTGCTGAATGAGGGCAGGAAGCCATCCCTGGCCTCCATGGCCTTGGTATCTATGCACTGGCCTGAGCGTGTCTGGGGTACCCACCTTTGAAGCTTTCCTGTCTGGTGTTAGGTCTGTTGTTTGATTCTAGTGTCATTTCACAGTTGCACGTGCCTTTCATGTTTTTCAATACCTTCGATGACACTCAAGAGGACTTCTTCATAGTTTGCCTAGATCAGTGGTTCTCAACCCTCCTAATGCTGTGGTTCTTTAATACAGTCCCTCATGTTATGGTGACCCCAACCATAACATTATTTTTATTGCTACTTCATAACGATAATTTTGCTACTGTTATGATCATAATGTAAATATATGTGTTTTCTGATGGTCTTGGGTAATCCCCGTGAAAGGGTGATTTGACCCCAAAGGGTTCATGACCTACAGGTTGAGAACCACTGGCCTAGACGGAAATTTTCTACAGTTCTTTCCCTCAACTCAGTGTGGCATCTGCCAGTGGAATGGATATTTGACTGACAGGCTCCCGATTAGAAGTGCTGTGCTGTGTTGGCTGCATATTAGGTTGCTACTTTGCTTCTCAGTCTGATGGTGCTGCTCTGGGTTTGGTCACATGGTACACAAGCCATCTCTAGTTTTCTCTTTACATGAATGGATGGATAACTCTTTGCAGTTATCACTGAGCTATAAAGCAGCCGTGTATTCTTCTCTAAGCTTGGAGCTTTACTGTTCAGATGTGGATTGTGGCTCTGTAAGGGCTAGATTCTACTTGCCCTAGTTTTCAGGAATTCCGAATGCTATCTCTCTAATAAGTATCATTGTGAAAGAGAACATGTAATAGAGGTTTTTGAGACTGAATGCTAGTTATCTGTTTTCTTTTTCTATTTTATTGTGAGTTTAGGAGAAGTTGGCTCTTCGACAACAGCTGAATGAGGCGAAACAGCAGCTCCTCCAGCAGGCTGAGTACTGTACACAAATGGGAGCAGTTACCTGTACCCTCCTCTGGGGTGTCTCCAGCAGTGAGGAAGTCGTCAAAGCTATTCTGGGAGGAGTAAGTTGTCTGGGAGTGTTGAATGTGCCTTGTGACTTGGAAGAGACAGCTTGGCTGCCATGACATTGACTGCTGAGCCCTGCCATGATGTAAATTTGCTTTATTTCATTCATCAGAGGTTGCCAGATGCTTGCTCTGTTCATTGTGTCACCTGGTGCTCTGGGGATGTGTAAAATGAAGTACCATCCTTCTGTCCCGGTACCCAAGGGGGGTTTTTGATATATTAACCACTTTAATGTTTATATATAAGAAATGTAATTCCAAAACAATACAGAGAAACCCTGTCTCGTAAAACCAAAAAAAAAAAAAAATAAAAGAAACTTAACAGCATTCAAGGTGCTCATATGTATTTTACCTCATGGGTAATATATAATTAAAACTTTTGACATATATATATATATATATGTGTGTGTCTAATACACATCACACACACACACACACAGTGCGCACATATGTAAGAGAGCTTCCCATAAGGAGAGGATTTAAAATGGGCCTTGATGAGTCTGTAGAAATGGCAGAAAATGTTTGTTAAGGATAGTTCAAGAAGATAGAATGGGGGGGGATGGGGTAGAGAGATGGCTCAGTGGTTAAGAACATTGACTGCTCTTCCAGAGGTCCTGTGTTCAATTCCCAGCACCCACATGGTAGTCACAACTGTCTCTAACTCCAGTTCCAGGGGACACAACTCTCTCATACAGACATGCATGCAGTCAAAACACCAATGCACATAAAATAAATGATTTTAAGAAACCCTAGATTATAAAAAAGGAGATAGAATCAGTCAAATCAGAGGTATAGGGTAACAAGTCTGACTTGTATTAGGAGGGGAGGTCACTTGACCGAGTGGAGGGTTCATGTACTGCAGCATGGGAGATAAGGCTTATTGTTATTGGAATGTCATTTTGTGATTGGAGATAAGTAGATGCTGGTCCCGTCCCTGTCGCGTCTCCCCACCCCCCTTGCGGGTAGAAGGGCTGTGGAGTCTTCCAGTGTATTTGTGTGAAGCATGTGGCTCTCTGCAGGGCAGATGGGGAAGAAGGAGGCACGTGAGAGCTGTGTGATTGAGATAGATGTGGTGTCGGGTACAGCTAACAGCTGAGGGAGGGAAGCACCACAGCAGGTTGGGTCTAACTCTGGGAGGAGGAGTACAAGTGGAGAGGGGACGTTTGGCAAGAAGCTACATTAGTTACTGCATAGAGGATGTGGTGTTCAGCTTGAGGGAGGACATAGTGTCCTTAAAAGTTTGCTGGACTTTATTAAAGTGTAATTTCCTGGACTGCGTAAGATTTTGTCTTAAAAATAAAGATGATTTCCATGTTGTAATTTACCCACTGGACTTACACAGTCCATTGGTTTCTTGGAAAATTTCTAGAGTTGGGAAACCATCTCCACAGTCTAGTCTTAGAACATTCTATCACCCAGGAAGTTCCCTTATGCCATTCTCTCAGATTTTGTTTTTTGTTTTCACATTCTAAAATATGCCTTGGTTTTAAATGGTTCTTGACAATTTTATATACACATACACACACATGCACAGTATATCTCAGAAATAGATAACTCAAATCCCCCTCCTATTTCCTCCTTTCACTTCCCTTTTACCATTTATACTTCATTAAGTTTGGTTAGTGCTGCTCTATATGCATGGGTGTATCATCCACTAGAGCATGAACCTACCAGCGCCCACAGACCTGAAGAACAGTGACTCCCCCCGCAGCCATCAATCGTTAGTAGTTCTTCAGTGAGACATAGTGAGGCATAGTGCCTCATAAGCCCATCTCCCACCCGTGCTAGGATGTGGACCGACCTGATTGTACAGGTCTTGTGCAGAGAGCCACAGCTGCTGGAGGTTGACCAGTGTCCAGAAGACATCATTTCACGGTGCTCCTCTTTACTGCAGCTCCAGCTCTGTCGTTCTGTGATGTTTTCCAAGCCTTGGTGGTGGTGGTTGACAGATGTCCCAGTTGGGGCTGGCCACTCAAAAGTCACTTATTCCTGCCGGGCGTTGGTGGCGCACGCCTTTAATCCCAGCACTTGGGAGGCAGAGACAGTCGGATCTCTGTGGTTCGAGACCAGCCTGGTCTACCGAGTGAGTTCTAGGACAGGCTCCAAAACAATGCAGAGAAACCCTGTCACAAAAAATAGTCATGTATTCCTTCCACTGCTTCCCTCCTGGGAACTCTGAGTGGTGGCACAGGTTTTTATGATTGTTTCTGTTTTGCAGTCAATCTTTCTTCTGTGTAGTTTGCACATTTGTGATGTTGTTACACTGACTTCTGTGGAAAGATGTTATACTTGTATCCTTTTATTTTTAAACTTTCAGGACAAAGCATTGAAGTTTTTCAACATCACTGGTCAGACAATGGAGAGTTATGTGAAGTCATTGGATGGGGATGTCAAGGAGGTTGATTCTGATGAAAACCAGTTTGTATTTGCATTGGCTGGAATTGTAACAAGTAGGTAACTTTTCAGACATAGTGCTATATAGCAGGGCCGGTAATCACAGTTAGGAATTTGTGTGTGTGTGGCAGTATCTGGAGGACCTTGTTCATCCTGGAGTCTATCTCAGTGATCTGGGATAGGTGTTAGATGTTTCCAGTATGGGAAAGAACCCCAAGGGCTTATGGTCACTATAATTTATTAGAAATAAATGCAGGTTCATTTGACTACTATTTATTTATTTATTTTTGGTTTTCCAAGACAGGGTTTCTCTGTGAGGCCCTGGCTGTCCTGGAACTCACTCTGTAGACCAGGTTGACCTTAATCTCAGAGATCTGTCTGTCTCTGCCTTCTGAGTGCTGTAATTAAAGACTTTCACCATGATACCTGACTGCTATTTATTTTTGTACATAACAGAAGTAAAAGAACAAAAGCCTCGGAATGTACATTTAACTACTTGCCATTTGGAATGATTGCTGTTTAACTCATGTCTGGCTAAAGCAAAAGCTGTGAGCTAAGCTTAACCTAAACTCCACTTGAAGGATTCTAAAAACTTTGTTTTTCCAGTGACTGTCCCTGAAAGAACCTATCATTGAATGTTACAAAAGATAACCGATTACTGATACTTAATATTACATGTCCAATCATTGTTCCTGTCTTAGTGTTATGGTGCTGTGAAGAGACACCATGACCTTTGCAACTTTTTTTTTGGAGCATGACAACATGTGTGCCACTGGAACAGTAGCTAGGAGTCACATCCTGATCCACAGGTGGAGGGGAGAGAAGGGGAGGAGGGGGGGAGGGAGAATGTAATCGCATTGTATATTGGGATTACTGGCAAGTAGTTGTATAGTTGTGTGTGGATACTGGTAGGGCTAGTACTGGCTTTACCAGCCTTAGGGCCAGTTTAATGACTTGGTCTGGTTTCTGTGCTCATTTGCAGAGCTTGATGTATGACAAAATGCATTTGCTGATCACAGTAGGGCAGAACATTTAGGAAAGATTCAGCTTTTGTGTTCTACCTTTGACATCATATGATTCCCATCGCATATTATAGTTAAAGGTCATTAGACAATTCTTTTTTTTTTTTTTTTTTTTTTTTTGGTTTTATGAGACAGGGTTTCTCTGTATTGTTTTGGAGGCTGTCGGTCCAGCCTGGCCTCGAACTCACAGAGATCCGCCTGCCTCTGCCTCCCAAGTGCTGGGATTAAAGGCGTGCGCCACCACCGCCCGGCCATTAGACAATTCTTGAAGGGTTTCTCAATGCTTGATTTCGGGTGAGACTGGTCATCAGTTCCACTGCCTGCTTGGACCAGTTATCTATTGGTCTGGTGTCCTAGGGCATGGTTTATGACATTACTTCCTGATTTGTAGTAGTTATTACTGTTGTCAGGTCCTTATCTAACATCATGCCAGCTCCACAAACAGCACCATTTTTAAATGTTCATTGACCAGCTGTTTTCCTTGGATCTATAAGGACAAAGCCGGAGATTATACTATCTGATAAGCAGGATTTTTCCAGATTGTGAAGCACCTGTGATCTTTTAGAAAAAAACCATTATTGTTGTTGTTGTTATTAATTATTGTACTGGCTGGTTTTGTGTGTCAACTTGACACAAACTAGGGTCATCAGAGAGGAAGGAGCTTCAGCTGAGGAAATGCCTCCATGAGATCCAGCTGTAAGGCATTTTCTCAATTAGTGGTCAATTGGGGAGGGCTGAGCCTGTGGTTGGTGGGGCCATCTCTGAGCTGGTGGTCCTGGGTTCTATAAGAAAGCAAGCTGAGCAGGCCAGGGGTAACAAGCCAGTAAGCAGCACCCTCCTGCCTTCAGGTTCCAGCCCTGCTAGAGTTCCTGTTTTGACTTCCTCTAATGATCTGGAATTTAAGCCAAATAAACCCTTCCCTCCCCAACTTGCTTTTTGGTCATGGTGTTTTGCCACAGTAATAGAAACCCTGAGACTATTATTATTATTAATTTTCTTATTAGTGTGTGTGAGCAAGTTAGAGATAGAGATAGAATGAAATGCAGGTGTGGTGATTCGAGGAAAACTTTGGTGGGGTCACTTCTCTCTGTTCACTGTTATGTGCTCTGTGGGGAACTTGTGGTCTTGATGCTTTGTTCTGTCTTTTGCAGATGTTGCTGCCATGGCATGTGGCCGTGAATTCTTGGTGAATTCCAGTCGGGTGCTCTTGGACACCATGTTGCAGCTGCTGGGGGACTTAAAGCCCGGACAGTGCACCAAACTCAAAGTGTATGTAGATAGCAGCTCACAGTCTCTCCACTTGTGCAGTGCCTAGACTATGCTCATGAGCCCTTCTCTAAGTAAACATAGTTGATCTAGCAGTATGCTGAAAACAGGAGACAAATGGCTTGAGGATATAAGGGGTGTGTTAGATCTTAGGTCATATCTTATGTAATTTTATTTGAGATAGAGTTGATGTAGAGCCCAGGCTAGCCTTGAACTCATGTTCCTCCTGCTTTATTCTGCCGAGGGTTGAGTTAAGTAGTATTTCAGGGAAAAAAAATGAATCAAGAAAAGGAACATTTACCCCTTAGACTGATCAGTGGGTCCTAATTATTTCAGGGTTGTGTTTCTAGTGGCCTCAGAATGAGCTTTGGTAGGTGCTGGCTCTGGTGGTCTCCTACCCAGGTACTGACATTTGTAGCTATTTTAAAAATCACTGTAATAAATCACGACAAACTTCCATTTAGTGTCTTGCAGTGTTGTAGGTCAGGATCTGAGTTGGCTCGAGTGGGCCCCCTGCTGAGTGTCTCATGAGGTCAACCTCAGGGTGTTGCTCAGCTGGGCCCCTGGAGGAGGCTGCGGAAAAATCGGCTTCCTTGTTCTGTTCTTTCGGGTACCAACTGAATCCTGTCCAGGGCTAACTACGTCTTTCTCACATGGCCCCACTGTCATGCCACAGGGCTTATACTTGGCGTCTGTACTAGTTACCTTTCTGGTTACTGTGACAAACACAGTTGAAAGAATGAAGAAATGTCTATGTTCACAGATTGAGGGTGCAGTCCCTCATGGCAGGGAAGGCACTGTGGCAAGAATGTGAGGCAGCTGGTCACATGGCATCCATAGTCAGGAAACAGAGGAAAAATGCTGGTACTCAGCTCAGTTCCTCCTTTTGAAAAGTGTTTTTTAACTATTTGCTTATTTATGTTTGTGTACATGTGTGCTCCTTGTGAAATTGTGTGCAGGTATAGCATGTTGAACTTAGAGGACAACTATTGGGCATCAGTTCTCTCTACTGTGTGGGCTCCAAGAATTGAACACTGGCCACCACAAATACCCAATGAGCCACCTCACCAGCCTACTGTATCCTACTCTATCCCCAGACCATAGGATGGTACCATAGGATGGCACCATAGGATGGCACCATAGGATGGCACCATAGGATGGCACCATAGGATGGCACCATAGGATGGTACCATAGGATGGTACCATAGGATGGCACCATAGGATGGTACCATAGGATGGCACCATAGGATGGTACCATAGGATGGTATATTGAGGGTTGGTCTTCCCTCTCAATTAAACCTTTCTGGAAACATCCTCAGTGTTGCTTTTCCATGGCGATTATAAATTCAGTTGAGTTGATGATTATCCATCACAGTGTGTATCAGACTTTCTCTGTTGCTCCTAGCCAGAGTGCATCTCTGCTTTTTGTGGGCTCGTGTGTTCAGATTAGGCATATTAGACAAACCTATTCAATCACTCAGAGCATCTGCAGAGCCTCCTTTGCCAGGAGTAATTTAACTATCGGAGTATGATGTATATATATATAGTCTTGAGGATTAGGCCAGGAAATATTTTTTCTTTTTTGGGGGGCAGTGCTGGGAATGGATCCTAGTGCTTTTCACAAGGCAAGCATTCCTGTGCTGACATATAGCCCCAGGGCAGGACAATTTGAGGGCCATTAGTGTTCTTCTATGACAGATACTTCTAACACCCGTGCCATCTTGGCCTTGGTGTCTCTTATCTTTTTCTATGTAGTTGAGATTTTCTTTTTCTCTTTGTATGCTGAATACTTTTGGATGCATCCTGGGCATTGGGAATATTATGTTAGAAAAGTCTCATGTTTAAACCTTTGGAAAATGCAACAGTCCAGTTGGATTTGTTTCAGTATCAGTCCTGTGTCTAGAATGTCTTTACCTGGTGTTTTCAATGCTAGTGGAGCTGCCCTCTGTGCTTCCTAGTGCCACCCGGGGACCCATGGGAGGCCCAGGGAATAATGCTGTATGTGATGAGGTGCACACATGCCCAGCTTGAGGTGAGGCTGGGTTTACAGTTAGCTCTATGGGGCCACTTTCCTGAAAAGCTGACTCTTCATCATGCCTGCGATGCTCTGTTGTTCCCAGAGCTCCCCTTTCTAGTCCCCATCTAGAATGCTGAGGCTTGGTGTGGCCCAAAGTATGACTGTGGCTGCGGCTTAACTCTCCCTGCAGCTATGGAGATCTTCAAGAGGGGAGTGGTTTGGTGGTACTTCATGCTCTGTTCTTATTTCCTCGTCTCATATGCTGGGTACCTGTCATAGATCTCAAGTAGCTGCTCCATGCATTCTGTTCATAATTTATAGTTGTGTTCCATGGAGGTAAGAAGTACATGTACTGTGACATCCTGTGTGGACCACACTGTAGTCTGTCTGCACTAGTGTTTTATGTTGACATGTCTGTGTTCATGAGCAATGTGTGTTGTAATGTGACATGCAGTTTTCTTTATAATAGTGTTAAAACCACTGTGGATCTGATTTGTTTCTTTGGGGTCTCAAAAATTGCAGGAGTCCTAATGTTCGGATCACCCGTCTCAGCTTGAGGGGACATTTTGGGTATTTTTAGTTTTTCTACATATATGCTGCTGCAGTGAACACTTGGTAAATATCTTCTTGTGAACCTGTGAATGAGTTTCTCCAGAGGATTTTTGAGAAGTGGTGCCCATACAGCTTTGTAAGATGATGCCAGTGTACTGTTTCCTGCATCCTTGTCAGCATTTTGTTATTTGCTCCTACAGAGAATATATGTATCATCAGTCAATTGGTCAGTCAATCATCCACCCGCTTCCCTCTCTGAGTTTGGAATACCAGCGAGGTGGGCATTTTTTCCTGCATGCTTGTGCCGTCTCTGTGAATCACCTGTCTGTCCCATTATCCGTTTCCTGCTGAGCCTTTCCCATAGTGATGTGCTGATGTCTGCGTGGGTTCTGGATGCCGATCCATTGCTTCCTTTCCTTTTGTGCCCTCTGTGAGGTCAGTATTTATGGGCCAGCTAATCCCCCCTTCTGCTTCCCAGCAAGCTTTGTGTGGGGCCTGACTCTCTGGCAGCCTCCCTTCCTTGGCATCTGTGCTTGTGGATCTTGGTAAGCACATGTTGATGGCAGTAATGGTGACGGAACTGTCTGCAGAGCCATCACATTGGCTTCTCTTCCCAGCAGCCTTCTAAGTCTGTATACATTCAGCTTCTAATCCCATGTGAGATATTGGCATGCTCCAGCCTCAGGTGGCTTCCTCACGTGGCTGGCTATCTTCCATGCAGGCTGCTTGCTGCCTTCTTTCTAGCGTTTTTTTAGGCTCTCCTCTGCTGAAGTCCCTTCGCTTTTGACAGAAGCCGAAGTCCTCTTGAATAGGGCCTCTACTGTTCTGAGCTTTTTTTAAAAAAATGTTTGACTCACTTCTCCCCTGGGGCTTTTCCTCTTAACACTTTACCATCAAAAGTTACTTAGTTTCACAGTTGGTGCCTCAGGCCCAGAGATGGGTTCTGTTTCCTCCCAACTGCTGTTTTTACATGTAAGACCTTTTTTTTTTCTTTTTTAAATCTTGGGCTGGAGAGATAGCTCAGTGGTTGTGGTTTTGAATGAAATTGGCTCCATATGGTTTAATATGTGACCCCAGTTAGTGGAACTGTTTGGCCAGGATTAGGGGGTGTGGCCTTATTGGCTGAGATGTGTCCCTAAGGGTGGACTTTGAGGTTTCAAAATCCCATGGTATTCCTACTTAGCTTTCTCTTTGCCTTATGCTTGCGGAGGTCACGTTTCTCTGTTCTACTTGCCACTCTAACTGTAAGACCTAGATAAGAGCAGGGTCAGAAATCATGTCACAACCTGAATGTGCTTTGCCTTCACATTCCTTCCACTAAACAATTCCATTGCTTTTGAATCCAGCTCTCTAAGTTCTCATTATAGGGGCAGAATACAACTAGATCTTTGTCAAAATGTAGTATGGATGGCTTTGTTGTGTTACTTTGTTTTCTTGGGGGGAAGTAGAGGTGAACAAATACCTACTTATCCCAGATAGGGCACTGACAACAGACCAAATTAACAATTGTATCTAATAATAGTGAAGCAAAGTTTATTGGGATTACTTACTGAAACATGGATGACTCAAAGGCAATTCCACCACTGAAATTCCAACTCCAGCCTGAGCGATGACTCACAAAAGCTGTGTTCTTTGCTTCCTCACACAACTGCGGGCAGCTTGGCTCATCCTCCAGCAGTTGTTATATAACCCAGAGGAGAGGCTTTCCTAAGTTTCAGGAACTTTCCAAGGAGTATAAGTTTGTTTACTACCTGCATTTTTCTCCCCTGCTATCATGTGACACTGATATTTCCATTTGACTTTTGATGAAAGCAGGCAACCAAAACCCATGCTTCATATTAGATATGTGAAATTCTTCAGCCTTTTGAAAGTGTTGTTCAGTTGACAAGCATGGGAGAGAAGCAACATAGTAAGATGTGGGCTCGGTCATTTCATCTTTATGCTTGGTTCTCAGATACTGCTTGTTTCTTAAAATACTTTGTGAAAATATTTCTAGAAGTGTTTTAAAGTACAGTCCTCAGGCTGGAGGCTATAGCCTAGTTGTTGGAGGACCTGCCTAATTCACAGGAGGCCTCCCCCATCACCATATAAATCAGACACAGTGGTGCACACCTGCAGTTCCCACCCTGGAAATAACGGCGGGAGAATCAGAACACAAGTTCAAGTTCACAACTACATAGAGAGTTCAAGGCCAGCATAGGCTACACAAGACCCTGTCTCAAAGCAAGCAGATAACAAAAATAGCAGTCCTCACTCTGACAGTCCCAGAGTGGTTGTCTCTGACAGATAAGCGCTTCAATGAGAAAGAGGCCTTATAGCAGCAGTCCACATGTGGCTGAGAGACAAGTACTCAGGAAAGCAAGACAGATGTGATCCAGTGGGTTTGCTCACAGGACACGGAGCTGCCACGAAGTTGTCTGTGAAGGCCCTGAGA